TAGTATTTCATGTTATTTAACAAAATAAATACGAATAACAAATATAATGGTATTTCTTGTGTTACAAGAATTGCGTACAATTTGTTTAAAACAACAAATTTATGAATTATTTTGAAAATAATTTCTGGAGAGTTGTTCAGAGATCCGCTTCAGTGATGACATTCAATGAGAGAGTTGTTCAGAGATCCGCTTCAGTGATGACATTCAATGAGAGAGTTGTTCAGAGATCCGCTTCAGTCATGACATTCAATGAGAATGTGGCCGAAGAAGTGCCCGTCGCGTCGGTAGCTTTGGCCGTGTATTGGCCCACATCTGTCAGTCTCACCGATGGTATCGTTAAACTGAACGCATTATCCGACGATTTACTCGTCTGATTACCACTCGATTCCTCCACTGGTTTCGAGTCTTTAATCCATTCGACTAAACAAATGCAACCAATGGTTAGTCAATGATTGAATTGATTTGATAATTGCAATAAAGACCTGTTTGGGCGCTTCTAATGGTCTCTAAATTGAATGTGATTTTTGAGCCCTCATGGGTTGTCACTGATTGTGGGTAAAGGGTAATACCGGGGCCTTTAGGCTCTTCGTTGGGCACTAGTATTGAAAGAATTTGATTGTAGTTTTATATAGGAATCTATGATCAGATAAGACCTACCATTAACATCCAGAGTACAGCTACTGAATGCCTCTCCGGCGTCGTTGAATGCCTCACACGTGTAAATACCAGAGTCTTCGGGGAATATCTCAGGAATTTCGAGCAAATAATTGTCGCCTTCGGTCTTATAGAGGAAGTCTGGGCTCGACTTAATCTCTTTGTCGTTATGCAACCAAATGATGTCAAATTTTGTTTGGCCTTAAAAATTAGCAATACATTCAATACAACTGATTTCCATGTGATTCATGAATATAACTTACATTTAATGTTACACTTGAGAGTAACGGGTTGTCCATCACTAATGGATGAACTGTTTAAGTGTTCAACAATTCGAGGCGGTTTTGAAGGACCCGTTTCTGACTTTGGTTTCTCTTCCATTGCTTTTGTGAAGATTGCAATCAAACATTACAATTATATAACATTTTAGGAAGTATTAGACTCACGAATTATAGTTAATTTGCATTTTGTCGATACTTTTCCCTCAGAGTTGGTTGCGATGCACTCGTAGTCGCCCTCATCCTCGGGAAACACTTCATTGATGTTAAGACTCGCCACACCATTCTTGTACTTCAAGTCTATGATGTCTGATGAAGATAATGGTTTGCCATTCTTTAGCCACTGAATCTGAGGCTCGGGGTCGCCTTTCACCACAGCCTTCAAAGTCAATGACTCGCCGTCTTTGATCTTCAAGTCCTTTAATTTGTCAGTAAATTCCGGTGCAATGAAGTCATTCTTCTCGACTGTATGTCAAATATATCGCAAATCAGTTATTGTTTCTTTGAAATCTACAGTAAACTAAAATGAATGATAGCTTACGTGCGATCTCTTTAGTACTTTGCCTTCTTCTGGAGCCTCCAGGCGTTGTCGGTGTTGTCGGCGATGTACTCAATGGAACCGATCGTTTAGAATCGGAATACGATGAAGAACCTGAACCAATCGCCGATGTCTTTGAGTCGGATTTATATTTACTCGAACTATAGTTTGACTGATATTTCGATGAACTCTTGAGTGAAGAGCTTCGGTATGAAGAGGTGTCCGAAGAGTACGTTTGATGTGAAGAATAATTGGATGAGTCGTGTCTTTTCGATGAATACGATTGTTGTTGTCGTTTCGACTCTGCCTTATAGTCTCTGATGTATGTGTCTAAGGGAGGAACGGGTGATCTGGGAGTTGGTGTCGAGATTCGCGTAGTTGGCGGAGATATGACAACAGGAGAGGGCGAGTGATGCGGAACCGCTCTTTTGGCTAAAATAATGTTAAATTTTTAATATCCGATGAAATCAATTGAATGAACGTTTAAAACAAACCTTCGATTATTATATTACAAGAGGTTTCCGCTTCACCCAAATGGTTGACCGCAAGACACGTGTATTTTCCGGCGTCTTCTACTCTGGAAGAAGTGATATCTAANTTTTTATCATTAAAACGTCTCATTAATAGGAATTAATATAATTATAACTAAATAAATGCTCAAACGATTTGTGTGAACAAATACAACTCATTTAATCAATTCAATCATTTAAACACAGAATTTAGTCGTTATTTTGCTTTCAATTCTACTAAAGCATTAAAACTCCAAATTTAACCGATTATTGCAATTATTATTACTATTATTACTATTATTGTTTCAAATATCATATATTCAATGTTTAAGTTTGAAAAGTTTGTAAAACTTCTAAATTTAATAATGTATGCAAAATAATTATTAACTAATTCAATCAATACTTAACAAATAAATAATTTATATTATAAATAATTATTAAAATCAATTATTATATGACGATACATTGCATAACATGTTTAATAAGTTAATGTATTATATCTATAAAAATAATTGCATTTAATCTTTAATAAAAACCAAATGGTTTGCAAATACAACTAAATATGTGTGAATTTCAAATTCTGGACAAATGAAGCGACAATAATGATTGGTTGACAGGTTTTAAAGAATATTCTTGCAATATATTAAATTTATTATCAGTTAGTTAATATGATACTTGTATTATGTAATACCTCTTAATAATTTATCAGTATTGTACAAGAATTATCGTAATTGTATCATTTCCATTTCATTCATGTACTAATCTGGGAAGTGTGGACATTATCACTGGAGGACTATCTATGCAAAATTGTGCCTGCACAGGAAATAACATTATAATTTAATGAAATTAACGATAAATTAATAATACAAAGAAAAATATATAAAATACTATAAAATAGTTTATTGTTTATGAATTATTTAATTTAAAACAACTATCTAATATTATAGCAAAAATTTATGTCTATCAATAATCATTTAATAAACATTAAAAGTCTATTCATAATCGATTTGAAAATATTTATTTGAGTTTGGCATCAATTTTTATTTGTTTTACAAATAAAGCCAATTATAAGAAAAACTTCAATGTTTGTCAGTATTTCATTTAATTCTCCATTCAATACAATTATGCCGAAGAGGTTTGTTTGAAAACAATTGCTTTTCCATAGAAACCGATTCAATAATAACATTACTATAGCTTCTATAGAATATATTCCAATGATATTATGTAATACTGTAATTATATATTACTGTTAGACTATTATATTCTGTGTTAATAATAGAAAGTCATTTACTAGAGTATTTTAATATTTATTTGAAAATGCATAAAACTATAGATTCATGGGATAATTGATAGCATTATTGGCACAATTATCCAATTATT